TTTTTTTTTTTCTTTAATTTATAATTTTCAAATGGTTATTATAAAACAAGCTGTATTGAACTAGATAAAAGAAGACCAAATTAAAGAAAATACTAGTTGCCCCCAGGACAAACAAGTAAATGCGGTCACACTCCATAATTTGGTCACACAGTTTACTCTAATTACAAGCTGCCAGGAAGATAAAATGCATTTTCCAGGCATTGGAATACAAAACAAGGTCATTAATAGCAAATTTCATTTTACACCAGTTAACAGTTCACAACACAAATATGAAAATCTAAGAAAAACACAGGATTTGTCTAAGAAATGCATGAAGTTGATCTTACTCACGCCTGAGCAGCTGTATAACTGCACTCCGACTTGTTTCTGACACCAAGCTGTGACGATTTCTTTCACTTTTGAATATTTTCTAATGGAAAACTACATTTTTTAGTGAACTACGCATCAACCCTTTGTTTAATAGTCTAATTATATAAAGTATTTTGTCCAGATACATTGTATCATTACATTAAGCTGAAAAACGTGAATTGGATGGTAAAGACGAGCTTTTAGTAGTTATATGAAGGGGTAGAAGCTTTTGATAAAATATTTTTAAATGTCCATACATTCTTTTTATTTTTTTCAGGTTTTCTATGCTGGTACCTTTAGAGAAAATATGGGCCTAATAAAAGTCTATACCACCATATCCAACACTGAGACACAGTGGAATGTGACTAAAAGGCTGATTGAGAAGAGAAAAAAAAAACTGTCATGCAGAAAGACGGACTCATGGAGTAGGAAGGAGAGTGCTCTTATGTTCAAGTAGCTACAAATGAAATGGAGACTTCAAGGCAAAGAGAAAAGTTTGAGATCAAACTTTTACAAAAGGCATGTTTGCAGACTACTAAGGTTAGAGCTGTTGAAGCATCAGTCATATCTGTATTTTCTGTGTTCCCACATTCTGTCCATACCTTTCTCTTACCATTGAAAGAAAAAGCTTATGTTTTTTTTGTTTTTTTAATAAGTCTTTTTTGTGGTATTTTGATTTTCACTTCCATCTATGCTTAGTGCCCTTCGTGACAAACTGTCTTACTTTGTTAAAAGAAGGAAAAGAAAGATCAGAAACAAACGAGGGATTATGTAAAAGCAAATATGAAGTAGCGTATAAATTGAACACAAGTGAGGGAGGGATGAGTTTAGAAGTAGAGCACACTGCACACACTATCATTGTTTACTCCTCTTTAAATTTTAAATGCATGTTTGTGGGTATTTTATGCACTAGTTAAATCACACTAGGGCTGGATGATATGGCCAAAACTTTTATCACAATATATTTCTTAATTTCGGTTGATAACGATATAATTCAATATTGATATAAACAATATAAAAGCCTCAGAAAAACTATACAAACTGTACAAATAAATTCATGTTCACCACTGCCCAATGACTCTCAGCATATTCTATTGAGTGGAACAAGTTAGAGGAGTCTCCGTCACATTTTGCAGCACACTGAAACCTGCAGTTTATCAAAGCTTAAGATAGCCGAACCACTTCCACACCGCCGAATTAGTCTTTCCTCTCTTATCAATGTAGTGGAAATGTACGGACGGGCCACCAGATGTAGTAGAACATATTGATGAGATATATTCATACTGTTAAAACGGATTCTTTCATTTTTCTGGACTGTATAATGTACGTGCATTGAATGTAATAAAATGTGGACGTGAGACGTTAATTATCTTTGACTCACCACGACAGTGGGTCATTTATTAACAGAATCAAGTTTAACACATCACACATTTACATTAATTGGCAAGAATTGAGAATAACGACAGCTATTAATCAGTTTACAGGAAGTGAACAATGCGGCGATCGTTCTCACTTCCAACAAAACAGCAGGTATTACCACACGGCGGTGGTGAAAACTTTGCTTCAGACATTTCTAAAAATATCTGGATTAATTTGCTAGCAGATAGGAGAGTTTAAAGATGGAAAGATGAAGTTTAAAGGGAGAAAAAGATGGGTGAGGGGTTTGTTTGTGTCAGCATTCAGAACGGCACTTTCCGGGCTCTTTCAGCTTCTTCCCCAGTACACTTAGGTGTTATAAATCAACTTTTTACCTGGAGATGTCCCTGGTACGAAGTTCCATTTAACGCACCCTTTCAGCGTCTCCGTAGGAACAGCTGTGAATCGTCCGAAGTAGTGACGGTATTCCGTCCGACACAAATTCACCTCACGAGTGGACTCACGAGTGGAGTCCGTCAGAGTTCCACCCAGAGGTGGAAAATGTTATAATCCCATAAGACTCGGAAGAGCTTTGTGGTCATGTCAGGATTTTCCTGTTTCCCAACTCGCCTCCAAACTCTACTGTCGACTCAAAACTTCTCCCGTTGAACTAGGAAGTGCCAACATTTAAAGGGCTCTACTTCCGGTTCGTTTGGGAGTTTCTGCTTGGTCGATGGACCAAAACAGAGGTGTGTTTTGTGATGTAAGGTGTTATGAAAAGTCAAGGAAAAGATTAAGATTGTTTAAGAACAGACAGAAAGATATTATGAAGGAACCAGACTTCGTGGAGTCACCTCTTCCAGTATCTTGCTGTAAAAGTTAAACATGACATTTCTTTTCAGTAAACTTTCAGTTGACCGAAACTTGAACTTCGACACACTTACAACTTACTCACTTCAAACAGACGATCAAGAAATGAATCATTACTCTGTAACGTATTCCAAATTGATTTCACTTTGAATGAGGATTAACAATCATTATACTGTTTCACAGTTAATTAAAATGATTAGTTCACTTCAACATGTAAACATTGTTTGAACTAACACAATTTGATTATCAAAACATTTGTAAAATAGTAATGATCATAGAGAATTGTCTTTTTCCACTTGATTAATTCAAGAAAGAAAGTCTCAGGATGGGTCAATCTGTATTTCTGGATGCAAATCAATGAAATAACAAGTTCTGTCCCAATGGTCCTTAGGTCAAGGTTTTGACCTTAGGTCTAGTTCACTACATCAATGATGTCATCTGCTTTCTCTTGGCTTGTGAAAGCTTGTTCAGTCACCTTCTGATGGTCATGGGTGCTCATTTTGAAGTGAAAACTTAACACGCGTTGGAGATTAGCCTAGCCTAACCTGCTACCGCTAACGCCTTCTGGACTCAAGCGCTGCGTAACATCTACGTCACCCCGCACTTATGTAGTTGTGTCACACCTTTTTCTGTCCAGATTGAAACTGAAGCGGCTGCTTCAACAGGAACAGAAAAAGAAAAAAGTGAAACGCTGTAATCCTATTAAAATATCGAAAAAGTGCTTAAAACTCATATCATCATTATTGAATAAAAGTATATTATGATATATATAAATATCAAATTATTGTCTGGCCCTAGGTCACAAATCACAAATACAATTATTTTAGTTTGCATTTGTGGCCTTTTAATGGTTTTTATTTGCTTATTTTTGTCAGACACAACTTGTACAAAATGTGTGTGTTTTCCTTTCTCTGTCTGAAACAACAAGAGTTGGGCTCACCAGTAGTGGCTCCACCCAGGGATCCAACGTTGCTCTCATCTGCAACTGAAGCATTAAAAAAAGTTAATAAATATTTTCAAAGACTGCACTTTTTTAACATCTACATTTTCCAAAAAAAAAAAGTAAATCAACTACTTGCCCATCTTGTATCAATTTATAAAATGGTGAAGTAGAAATCCTTCTTTGCTACTGAAGCCCTTTGCCTTCCTCCCTTTGCTCCCACTTCATTTTTCATCCACTTCCTTTCAGTTTTTCACCACCGCTTCTCATGTATCTCTCTGACCTTTTTCCCCTTACCCTCAAGTATCTCCTTCAATGTTTTACTTTTCTCTCGCTGCTCTCATTCCACCCAGCTCCACTCTTCTTTCTCTGTCACTCCCTTGACCATCACTCTTAATTCTTCTTTAACTCTTCCCTTCAGCAGTTTAGCTTCTACTCCACACTTCTTTCAAAAACCAAAAATAGCAAGGCACTGAGCAGGAGCACTGAACCAACACACACACAAACAACCACATGAACCAAACAAATTCTTCTCTAATGAAAACCGAGCCTGAAGTGTAACAAGATCAGCGTTCATCTGACAGCATCTCTCAGCAGAGAAGTAACAGGAGTGTTTGGCAGTCTATGGTCTATTAATCCCAGATGAGGTGGACACAAAGTTGTGCTACTCAAAAGGGGAATTTCAAAGAGTTACACAGATGCACAATCTTGAGTGTCACTTCTAGATAATAACTACAGGTAGTCAACCATGTGTGTTTACTAAAACAGAGCAAATTGAAGCCATACTGAACTCGGCTGACTGTATATTCATGTTTATAAAAATCTAAATCAGGACAAATTATATATATATATATATATATACACACACAATTGGAGGGATTCTGGTTCAGTGGCCTCAGGATTCTATCTCTGTTCTTTGCAGATGATGTGGTCCTGCTGCGTCATCATGCCATGACCTTCAGCTCTCACTGGAATGGTTCACAATAGAGTGTGAAGCGACTGGGATGAGAATCAGCACCTCCAAATCTGATGCTATGGACCTCAACTGGAAAAGGGTGGACTGCTCTCATCAGGTCAAGGGTAAGGTTCTGACTCAAGTGGAGGAGTTCAAGTATCTTGGAGTTTTGTTCACGAGTGAGGGAAGAATGGAGCGTGAGATTGACAGATGGATTGGTGTAGCGTCTGTAGTATTGCGGACTCTGTACCGGTCCATTGTGGTGAAGCGGGAGCTGAGCTGTGAGGAAAACTCTCGTTTACCGGTCAGTCTACACTCCTACCCTCACCTATGGTCACGAACTCCGGGTAGTGACTGAAAGAATGAGATTGTGGATACAGACGGTTGAAATTAGTTTCCTCTGCAGGGTAGCTGGACTCTCCCTTAGAAATGGGGTGAGAAGTTCAGTTATCTGGGAGAGACTCAGAGTAGAACCACTGCTCCTCCACATCGAGAGGAGCCAGTTGAGGTGGTTTGGGCATATCCGACTGGGAGGAGACCCAAGACACACTAGAGAGACTATGTCTCTCGGTTGGCCTGGGAACACCTTGGGATACTCCCAGAAGAGCTGGAAGAGGTGGCTGTGGAAAGAGATGTCTGAGCCTCCCTGCTCAAGCTGCTGCCCCTGAGACCCGACTTCAGTACAAGCGAAAGATAATGCAAGGATGGAGGGATGGATTTATACTTTTTTTTTTTTTTTGAGAGAGAGACATTAAATTTGATATCATGTAAGTGTTCCCCAGAAAATACTGAATGTGAATCAGAAATCCAAGATGGCCACCAGAACTAAAATAAAAAATACAATTAAAACAATATGATACCTTAGAGATTTTTAGCAATGGAGATAGCTGAAAGTGACTGTAAACACATTGTAAATTGCAAATAATTTTTATTAAAAAGGCCGCCACGTGGCAGTCTCTGTAAAAGTTCCTCCAGGAATGGGCATTTTCAAACATTTATACCGACACACAGATCTTGACTGTCGCTTCATAGTAATAATAATTAAATGAATGTAGCAAGCTTTAACCCAAAAGACTAACTCAGAGGAAACGTTGTGTATGCTTTATAAGTAAGTGTTCAGAGAAATCTAAATCAGGACAAATTAATAAAAAAAAATTAAAAATAATAAAAAACAATTATATAACTGATTTCCATTTCAAACCAACCAAATCACAGCATGAAATCATTGCTAAAACATGTCCTGTAGCAAAAATCGGGCTCTCATTATGCAAATAAAGTAAATTAGTGGCACTAATACATTTATGATTTAATCATAAATAAATGGCAACAAGTATCTCAGACACCCCCTCTAACATAAGCCAAAGTTTTAGCATAATGAACATTTTTATGTGATTTTTTTTTTCTCTTTCTTTTAATCAAAATGTTAATAATGCTTAAAGTTCAGAAAAATAAATATCAGTGTCTGTTTTACAAAAAATAAAAAAAGGGCGGATAAACCATTCCCAGCTTCTAAGGTGTAGTTTACAGCTCAATCTATACCTACTATTATTGTCTCCAATGTAAAATCTCAAGAACAGCCTTGGAATCTCTTTTCTTCTCCAAGAGACTTTGCTCCACACACATCAAGATATAATTATCTTCAGTAAATGAATAATGGAACCCAACTAAGTCAAAGCTCTGGTTCTTATATGGTAGCAAACCAAAGCAACTGATTTTGAATGATTACGTTATTAAAAACGTGCCAAGTAAAACAGGCCACTAATGAATTAAGTTAGTTATTCTGCTAGAAACTTTGAGATTGTTTTTTCAAGTTCAATGCTGATCGCAAATCAAGTAAGAAGAATTATTTAATTATGGTCACGGCTACAGTAAGTATTTCTCGATGTTACTCATACACAAAGCTCTTAGAGTCAACACGTTAGGATTCCGCCACACATCCAATCATAGAAATATTATTTTGAAAGACTGTGTGCATTTACATTTAGTGTTAATGAGCTAAAGACGATTTACATATGGTAATTCAAAGCTACTCTTGCAGAGAAATAATTATTTTCTGACTGATGCTAAAGTTAACTGCGTTTAATAAAATCATTACGTTGGTAATTTAGTATATCCACTATATATGTATATTAAAGAAAGAACCTCCCGTGTTTCAAGTATTTCTTATACTTATATAACATAAAGGTGGGATGCGGTAGCTCAGTGGTTAAGTGCTGCAGCCTTGTAATCCTGGGGCAGCTGGATCGAGCCCAGGTTGCATCAGGATGGACATCCAGCGTAAAAACAATTGCCAAATATTTCATGAGAGTTCACTCGATGTGGCGACCCCCTGCAGGAGGGAGCAGCTGAAAGACACTGCTTCATATGATATCCACAAACTCAATATTGTCATGCTTTTATTAAAATGTGTGGATTTTTTGTAGGCTTAAAGCGAGATTTCAGAAAGCCCTAAAAAAACAACGTTTATCCCGATTAATAGTGTTAAATACATAAAAAGGAGTTGTACTGGCGCATCATAGTTTGAGCATGAAAACTCACCCTATCATTCAAACAATTATACTGTTGATTTTTTATATATTTTTTTTAACAAATACACGTAGGAATACCCAAAAATGCATAATTAATACAAATTTCCATTCTTGAAGGAATGCATATTTCTTATACATTTTATTGTTGGATGTAACTGGGACCCTGTGTACATAATTTCGCTCCACCACATGTACCACATGAGGTGCGAATGACAATAAAGAAACTCTGACTCTGACTGACTCTGACTCTGACTCTGATATCGCCTGCCACCTTGTGTGCCTCCATGTCTAAAAACAAATCTATTAGTGCTCTGTGTATGTGATAGATCTAACATTCAGCTGCTGCTACCACACCAAATTTTAGCTTAGCTCTCTGGTCATGGAGTTAGTAGGAGAGATCATATCTCTCCAGTTTTAGCTTCTCTCCATTGGCTCCCTATCAAATTAAGAAATTAATTCAAAATCTTACTTCTAACCTACAAAGTCCTCAACAACCTAGCTCCGTCTTATATTCGAGATCTTACGGTTTCATAGTTTCCTAACAGAGCACTTCGCTCTCAGACTGCAGGTTTACTCGCGATTCCTAGAGTTTCCAAAAGCAGAATGGGAGGAAGATTTTTCAGTTATCAGGCTCCTCTCTTGTGGAACCAACTTCCAGTTTCTGGCACATTTTCCAGTTTTAAGACTGGGCTTAAGACTTTCCGTTTTGATAAATCCTATAGTTAGGGTTGGCTTGTTATGCTGCTATAGACTTAGACTACTGGAGGACAAATTGACCTACATATACAGCAGTAGCCATCTTGGATTTTGACGTTGACTATAAGGAGCTCTAAGGGGCCTCAATTTTACTACATTTAACGCTGCTGTGAGAAACTGAATGAGACATTCACAAATTTGCATCAAAACTGACTTTCAGACCTGTTCAAAGTCGTAGTAAATCTGAGTCTCAGTGTGTAAAAATACAAAAGAGGTGATGTGAAGCTGCGCAAGACATATCATCAGCCCCTTATTTGTTTCTGTAGCTCAAATGAATTTCTCTCTCTCTTTTGTCTGACTTTCAAATACACACACGAGGCACACACACAAATATGGCAGCAGCCTGAACTCGAGGAGAGAAAGTGACATTTGAAACAATGCGCTTTTGTTCCACTGCTCCATCCGCTGTCATGTCGCACTGATGCATGCAAAAGCACAGAAATAAGTATGCACACATGCACGTGTGTATTTCTGAGCTGACTTTTTAACAATCACTGAAATGTCACTCAACATTCGCGCGAGAACATCAGTAATAAAAGAGCAACAGGTGACAAAGACGTCAGGCAAAGGGCGATTACAGTCGCTGCGAAAACTGCTTTTCTGACATTTGTTTTCAGAAATGAGAGGCCGTACTGATGCTCAGTTTGAAAATTCTGCACCACACATTATGATTTCTTTCTCCTTTGCTTATAAAAAGAATTAAGAGAATAAATAAATACATTTCTTAGGAAAATGTGCAACCACTCATCAGTTATTAAGCGACAAACAGGATTAAAAATTTGATAAAGGAATTTTCAATAATAAAGTGAGTAAGTTAGTATATAACAACATAATGACACAGGAACTAAATAGAAAGTGGTTGAAAATCACACACACTATACACCAGATTACAGTGGCCTTGAGGTTTACACAAACAGCATTTGAGAAAAAAAAATGGAATTACATTTGATAAAACATAATTACATTAAGCCAAAGTGGAAGTGGTGAAAAAACGGAATTACCTTTCAACAAACAAAATTACATTATGTAATTATCCTGATGCATGCTCAATAATCCAGGTAGAAAAATCTAAAAAAGTTAAATCTGGTCCTCTGGACATTCAGAATGTCCAGAGGACCAGATTTAACTTTTTTTAGATTATGTAATTATGTATTATTAGTATGTATACTTATTATTATTTGTATCTAATTATTAGTAGTAATTTATGAATTATGTTGTATACAACCTTTATGTAATATAATTTCATATTTTGAAATGTAATTCCATTTTTTTCACCTCTTCCTGTTTTCACCACTTACGGTTTGGCTTAATATAATTTTGTTTTTTGAAATGTGATTCCATTTTATTTCAAATGTGTTTTTTTTTTTCTTTTTTTTTTTCCCCAAATGTAATTGTGTTTTTTTTTTCAAATGTAATTCGCAATTTCGTTTTATGAAATGCTATTCCGTTTTTTTCACCACTTCCAGTTTTTACCACTTCTGGTCTGGCTTAATGTAATTTTGTTTTTTAAAATGTAATTCCATTTTTTCAAATGTTGTTTGTTTAAACCTCAGGGTCACCGTATCAGACCCTGCATGGTCATTACAAGCTTGTACAGATGTCAGTCTGCATGTGGTTCTGATGCCAGCGCACCAACCATGCACCGGTAGGATTATTTCAAAATGAAGGTGCATGCATCCATCATGCAGAGCAGATAAACAAAATAAGTCTCCCCACCAATGTAATGCTGGCTCTGACTCGTACCAAGGTCCATGCTTTTAGAGGCTTTAATGTGCTGGAACTGCTGTTGGTTCTGGTTCTGGGCAGGAGACTGAGGCTGGGCCCTGAGAGACACGTGAGTGTATTCTCTGAGAAAAAAAAAAAAATTATGTGACAATTAGTGGATTTGACAAAGTGGTAAGAAAGTGACTTAATCAAAAGAATGGACTTTTTTTTTTTTTTTCTGAACTAATGTGTTTTGAGTGAGTTTCTACTGTGGAGCTTGAAAAAACTAAATGTTAAATAATTGTTCATGAGTTAATGAGTAGAAAAATCCAAGACAAACTTTAAAAGATTGTCAGAACGCCTGGAGAACTAAAGACCACTAAAACACAAAGACAGTTAAAAAAAAATACAAGAAGCTATGGTTACATGAAAACAAAGCATGAGGAAATTAAGGGTGATACAAATTTCCACACAATAATGTAAATAAATGAGAATATAAAAATATAATTAAAAAATTTAAAAAATGCAGAAATGTTGAAAATGTCAAACCAAGACTATTTCAGTGGATATTGTGCTAGAAAATACCATTTACACATTAATATATATGAAAAAAAAAAAAAAAAACTTTGGCTTTGAACTGCTGGATTAAGAATTTTATTTTTAATATAAAATAGGGAAAAAAGGACAAAAATTTAAAGTGTACCCTAACTAAGTAATCATAGAACATCTAGATCTTGGTTTCTGATCAAGACGTGCATGAGCTGACAATAATGGCCAAAAGAGGTAGTCATCACTTGTTTTAAAGGAACCCACTAAGTCATGGAGTCATAAAGAAAAATAAAAAGAAAGAAATTGAACGAGAAGGCCAACAATTTTGATGTGTTGGTACGTTTAAGCTCATATTTGTTGAGTGAGGCGTGTCATTATTAGAGTTGAAAAAAAACATTTCAACTGTAAACGTACCGGTTTTGATCAAGCATAGCTGTATATTAGTGAACAACTTCTGTAAGATTCTAGACTTGTCCATTTCAACCATATTTGTTTCCCTACACAGATTATGGATAGCTGAATGTAAGACATTCACACAGCTTAAGCTTCCAAGTAGTTTTTAATGGATTTAGTCAAGTGCTTCGTTTACATGGAGTGTGAACCCACATTTCGGAATTCCATTTTGTCAATATACTGGCACAAACTACAGGCACAGACTCTTTTTGAAAAGAAACCATTTGATAAAGACCAAGATAACCTTTTTTTATCATTGTTTGCAATGAGAACCATTAAAAATGTTTACTCTATATCTAAAGCTTGTTTATTTAAACTCTGGGAGAAAATGTTAATTTTACCACATACTTTTTTTGTAAATAGTACTGCTGGTTGGAGCTGATCTGAGCATCTTGTTCACATATTTCCTCCTCTTCCTCTTCCATGTGAAAGTAACTCCCGTTAGTCACTGAAAAGAAAAAAAGAAAAACAGAAATTAAATTAAACAGGTGTCGCTTGTAAATGAGTCCTCGAGGCTCAATGTGATTAACCTGTATAAATAAAGGTTGAATTGAAAATACACAAATATTTTTAATATTTGGGCTGATTGTGGGAGTTCCAGGTCACTTTTTTCCTGAGGCCACTAGATGGCGTGAGACTACCACACCTGAGACCAATCCCCTTGATGGGACGCCCAGCATAAGGCATTTGATGACTCTTTTTTGACGCTGAAGCATTGCATTGCCAATGGTTCAGGTTTCTAGCCATTTAATATTCTAGTGACCTAAGTTTACTTACCTTTACCTTTTACTGTATCCGGTGAACCTCCTGAGACCCACCTGTTCTTGGACTCTTTGTGAAATTCTGGAAACCTCCTCATGACCTCCTCAGCTGTCTTCCTTGCCCTCCAATCACTTGCTCACCAGTGACTAATTTCCACGTGAGAGAACCATTGCTCACTGGATTATTGGAACTAGTGATTCTCCAACATCATTCACTGACCAGTAAGGATCAGAAGACAATCAAATTAAAACCATACCTGCTGAACTTCAGTGCTGACACTTCTACTTGCTCCCCATGGTTCCTGATATGCTCCTGTGATTATATTCACTGTACTGGTAAATAAAAACACTGAACTTGCCTTCCTGTGTTGTGTTGCTCATATTCAGTCCTTTCACTCTGGGTATTTAGTCCTTGTGCCAATGATCTATTTTCTGGTTTTTAAAGTTTACATTGATATTTATTCTAATAAAATTGATTTTTAGTGTGACAAATAACGTCTATTACTTACATCAATGACACAATTCAGTGGCACTACATCAAAGCTTCTTCTTTCGGCTTTTCCCTCTTCAGGGGTCGCCACAGCGAATCATCCTCCTCTATCTCACTCTGTCTTCTACATCCGTCTTCCTTGCTCCAACTACATCCATGTCCTCTCTAACTGTATCCATACATTTCCTCTTTGTATTTTTTCCTGGCAACTGCCTTTCTAACATCCTTCTACCAATATACCCAGTGTCCCTCCTATGGACATGTCCAAACCATCTCAGTCTGGCCTCTCTAACGTTATATCCCAGTTGTTCAACCTGTGCTGTACCTCTGATGATCTCATTCCTAATCTTGTCCATCCTTGTCACTCCTAAGGAGAACTTCAACATTGTCATTTCTGACACTTCCAGTGTTTTTTCTCCTGTCTTTTTGCCAGTGCCACTGTGTCCAGACCATACAACATAGCTGGTCTCACAACTGTCTTGGAAAATGTTGCTTTGACCTTTGCTGACAGCCTATTGTCACAAATCACTCCTGAAACTTTTCTCCATCCACTCCACCCTGCCTGGACTCTATTTCACCTCTTTACCACACTCCCCATTTTCCTGTACAATGGACCCCGAGTACTTGAAGTCCTGCACCTTTTGGACCTCTGCTCCTTGTAGCCTCACTGTTCCACCAACCTCCATATCATTCACACACATACTCTTTTACTATGACTAACATGTCATTTTTCTTGTTTCAAGTGCACACATCCACCTCTCTAAGTTCTCTTCTACCTGTTCCCTGTTCTCAACACAGATCACAATGTCATCTGCAAACATCATCGTCCACGGGGATTCCTGCCTGACCTCATCTGTTAGTTCGTCCATCACCAGAGCAAACAAGAAGGGGCTCAGAGCCGATCCTTGATGCACACCCACCTCCACCTTGAAGCTATCTGTCACTCCAACAGCACATCTCACCACGGTCCTGCTGTCCTCATACATGCTCTGTACTAGTGTAACATACTTCTCTGCCACTCCAGATTTCCTCATGCAATACCACACCTCCTCCCCTCGTCACTCTGTCATATGCTTTTTCAAGATCCACAAAAACACAATGGTGTTCTTTCTGGCAAAAGTTTTAAAAATCTAAGAAAATGAAAAAAAAAAAAAAAAAAAAACTGTGGAAGTTACACAAGAAATCTAACTTAAAATTCACAAAAAAAAAAAAAAAAAATCCCACAGAGGAAAACATTCAACAAGCTTTTGAGTGGCTAAGAGGACAATGTCTACCTGACACTTTTTTTGTTTAACTTCAACTTCTAATAATGTAGCCAACACAAAAAGATTTCAGGCATATTGTATTTGTATGTCTCATGCATATCTGATAAACACCCCCAAGAATCAATCCAACTGGCAGTATAATGGTTTGTGCTATATCAGTGCTGCATGCTTCTAAACACAGCCTGAGCAATATTGTCGTACTTAAAATCAATTTCCTTACATTTTTGTATTGCTGTGATTGTATGCAGGGCTTACAAAGTGCTTCCAAAATACAGGCAACCCAGAGCTCAATACTGTGCCTGAAAGCCTCCTACGTGGTAAACGACAAAGCACCGGTGCTGCTGCTACTCTAAGAAAACAGACCCTAGCAGCACACACAAATGAAAAGGGAAAATACAGACTTGCAGCACAGCGGTATGGATTAAGTCTATTGTCTAAGAAACATACATGAGATGGACATAAAAGGAAGTCTGAAAATTGACTAGTATAGACATGATGGGGCAGAAACCATGTCAAGTAAGAAGGCCAAGTCAAAAGTTTCTGAGTATCCCAGTTTACAATAAACTTCCAGCTGCTGTAGTTTGTAGAAACTAACTTTAGACACATTTGAAGCTTATACAAATGCTTTAGACATAAAAGAACCAAGACAAAGACACTTTAAACACACACCACTCTCCTCTACTGTGACTATAAACCCATCCTGGAAATGTTTAGAAAACCACCCATTAGCTACGTGCCAGAACAGCAGAAAGTTGCTTAAACCCACTCTCAGACAAGAAAGAAATCTAAAATGGGTGAAAGACTAGAAAGAAAAAAGAAGAAAAAAGATGTACCATAGTAAATATATATATATATTTTTTTAAAGATAAAAAAGCAGCTGAAGTTGTGGCAGATGTTTCATGGTGATATGGCTTTGTCTGCCTGATAAACGAGTTTATGACAACTTGATACACAGACATAAAATCCACTCCAGTGAAATTTACATACAGTCATCGCTTCTCCGAGTGCACAAGCCGGAATTACTGCACATTGCTCGCTGCTTGTCCTTTATCCCCTCACATCTGCACACGCGTGACTGAAAGCAGAGACGTTTGGAACGAGAGAGGAAGACAGGCACGTCTGACGATATCACATCCCCTTCATCTCCATCCCTTCCTCCCTCCTTCTACACTAATCACCTGCTTTATTTTTCTTCGGCTCCCTTTCTTGCAATCTGATATTTTGGCTGCCATTTATCTCTCCTTTCAGATCTCCCATAAATCATTTTATCTCCCACTCAGTTTTCAGCATTTTTTTTTCTCCACCAAAACTTCCTCTCTCCTCCTCCTCCTCCTCCTTGCTAGCACCTTAATCAGCTGAACTGTCAAAAACACATTTTTATTTCACCTCACACACACACACAGAAATCTGTTGCCACTGACTCCTGCTGTTTGAAGTGAAAAGGCATTTGTTGTGGATGATAGATCAATAGCAGATTTTTCCAATAGCAGATAGATGAATTGTCGTATTTTACGCTCAACCTTTTCTTTCTGTCATTTGTATTTGTCTGCAGCTCATCTCTCTTACTTGCGGTGAAAAACAAGGCAAGTGGCAACAATGACGTTCTGAATATATTGACTATTTAAAGCTTTTATCTTTTTTTTTTCCGTCTTCTGTAGCATAAACATTACCAAAGGCATTGGTTGTGTCATAAGAAAATGCATTTTAATGCAACATAATGTTTTAAGTTTACAACTTTAAAAATGTTCTGTTTTAGAAACACGTGGGTCATTGCCTATACAACAAATATACACTTTAATTTAAAGTTACATTTGGTTTGCACTTAAATTTTTCATGATTTGTTGTTTAGCAGCATGGTGACCCTAAAGTCGTAGTCCGTCCTTGGAGGTTTGTTTGATTAGAAAACAAAAATACGACCTAACCTTAAAATCCACCTGATATCAAATCAACAGTTGCTTCGGGGTTACGCAACAGTTGCACTTAAAAGCTCTGTTTGGTTTGAGGTTTATTTCAGGCAAATATGGAAAAAACAATTGTAGCATTAATGACCCTAAAATGTAGAGAGATGTACAAGTTCACATCAATAATGATCAATCAATCAATGTTCACATCAATATGAAGAAGACAAAGGAGATGGTCGTGGACGTCAGATGGAACAAACACTCCTAACCCACCCCCCCATAGGAGGATCTGCGGTGGAAGTGGTCTCCAGCTACAAGTACTTGGGTGTGCACCTGAATGACAACCTCAGCTGGAGCAACAACACCACCAGCATGATAAGGAACGCTTATCAGAGACTCTACTTCCTCAGGCGGCTGAGACGAGCTGGTCTAGGGAGCTCAGTCCTCACCTCCTTCTACAGGTGTGCAGTGGAGAGCATCCTGTGCTCCAGCATCAACATGTGACATGGAGGCTGCACAGCTGCAGAAAGAAAAACTTTGCAGAGAGTGGTGAAGGCTGCACAGAAGATTGTTGGAGTCAGCCTCCCCACCATCACAGACATCTACAATTCCAGATGCAGGAAGAGGACCACCTGCATCATGAAGGACCCCACTCAGCCAGTACACACTTTTTTTTTTTTTGCCCTGCTCTCTTCAGGCAGGAGGTTGGGGAGCATTAAGGGTGCATTCACACTAGTCCTGTTTAGTCCGCTTTAATCAAACTCTAGCTCGTTTTCCTTGAAAGTCCGGTTCGTTTGGGGAGGTGTGAACGCGCCATCGAACTCTGTCACGGAACAAAAAGGCGAACTCTGGCCTGGGCTAAAACCTAGGTCTCGGTCCGGTAGAAGCGAACTCCAGCGCGGTTCGAGTACAGTGTGAATGCAAACAGGCCGGACCCTCTCCGCAGGGTAAACAAACACGCATTGCTCTGACCTTATATGGAGCCGTCAGCTGTCTTGTGTGAAAAACAATATTCTCAGTGGTCTTCTGTC